AAAACTCCCGTAAATTGTCAGAAATTGACGTGGACTCTCTTGGGCAGTGTTCCCCCCATGCCTCCCCCCCATGGAATTCTAGGGGAGGCTTTAACATGTAAATGAACATGCTGTGAGCTATACAAATGCAAATCAGGGTTGCAGGGGGGGTTTTACCCCAAGTGACATTTTTCTGAAAGGTAAGAATACAAAGAGATCAGGCTCAGTATAGCCTCTTACATTTTAGCTTGAATTGATTTATTTAATTAAAGTATAGAGACCAAAACAGATCTTTAGCTGACAGAGCAATACATTTAGAGCAGTAATTATAAAAAAAAAAAAAATTGCATTTAAGATAAAAAATAAAATGTTGTCTGTCAATATGCTCAATTCACAATTACTTAAGTGGAAAGGTTTCAAGAAATGAGTCTGAGATGATTCACTTTATAACATGGCGCATTATCCTGTTGGAAGTAGCCATCAGAAGATTGGTACACTGTGGTCATAAGGTCCGGCCAAGTCAAGATCCGCAATTGCAATCGCACCAAACAGGAAAAAGAACATCGACAAATTCCGGTTCGTCAAATTAAAATATAGCAGCAACAGATCGGCGACTAGAAATTATAGCACAATTCTTATATATATATATATATATATAAAAAAAAAAAAACTAACACCGTTTATTTAAATGATTGGATCCAAACTATTGGTTATTCACCAACGAGGAAGCAGATTTCTCATCTCCATCAAAATATTTATTTTATACCGAGGGACTTAAACTTTAATCAAATCCATTCAAAAGAAACTTCTTATTACAGGAATGAAAAGAGATGCTGAGTTTGGAAGTAGTGAACAAGTTCATTAAAAAAAAGCAGTTTTGAATTATCCTTATCCCCGTTACAAAAATCTACAAAAATATATATATATATATATTTGGGCAGAAACTGAACATATGCTGGATGATGGTGGGATTTTTTTAATATGTCATATTAAATTAAGCGCTCACAGGGTTCATACAGGAATGAGTGACTCTAATTTAATGCTATTTTAATGCTATTTGAAATGATTTTAATGCCATCAACAAGAACCATGTACACAAGTTATTAGTGTACATGAAATATGAAGGAGCTGTAAGCAGAGTTCCATGACTCCTGTATGTATGTAAACACACACACATACACACACACACACACACACATATATACGTATATATATATATATCCTCTAGCTTTTTCTCCGCCTGCAGCGATATAATATATCTGACGAAATTGTTTTTATAAGCATTTTTTATTAAAGAATTATAAATACTTCGATAAACATATTTAAATAATTTTACTGCCAATTAAGGCCTTGATTAAAAAAAAAAAAAAAAAGAATGATTTTTTAATTATTTTTATTGATCCGCGGAAACTCTGGTTCATCTCGCGCATGCTCTGTACGATCTAGGGTGGCCAGATGTCCGGCTTTAGGGCGGACAGTCCGGATTTTCATTGCACTGTCCGGCGTCCGGCGCTGCACCCAGCCGGACGTGTATTTGTCCTCCTTTACCCCCAGATTCCACATACTCCGTCAGCGCTCCGCCCCACTCACGTACGGAGTACTTGTCTGTCATGTAAATCAATGAGAGCTGTTCCACATCCTCCGCTCGTCACCGCCCACGTACGTCTTCTCCGTCCTTCACCGTCAAAATACGGAGCTGAGCTATTTTTTGCTCCCCTCCGGTCCGTCCAGATCAAGACCCGCTATTGCAATCGCACCAAACAGAAAAAAGAATGTAGAGAAGACCCGGTTTGTCAAATTAAATTATAGTAAAAACAGATCGGTATCTAGAAATTAGAGCATAGTTTGTATATATTCCCAAAAACTAAGAGCAATTAATTAAATAATTGGATGCAGACTATTGGTGCTTCAACAGACCAGGAAGAAGTTGTGAGATTCTAGAGTGAATCTCACAACTTTAAAAGAAAATTCTTATTGCAGGAATGGATGAAGAGATGATGAGTTTGGAAGCAGAGAATAAACAGAGTTCATACAAACTATGTATGATCCTAGTTATCCCTGTTACAAAAATCCACAACAGAAAGAAAATATTTGAGCAGAAACTGAACATCTGCTGGATGATGATGGGGATTTTTTTAATATGTCAGATTAAATTAAGCGTTCACAGGTTTTATACAGGAATGAGGAACTCTAATTTAATGCTCTTTTAATGCTATTAGAAATAATTTTAATGCCATCAACAAGTATCATGTACACAAGTTATTAGTTAACATGAAATAAGGAGCTGTAAGCACAGTTCCATGACTCAAGTTTATATATATATATATATATATATATATATATATATATATATATATATATATAGATAGATAGATAGATAGATAGATAGATAGATAGATATATATATATATATATATATATATATATATATATAGATAGATAGATAGATAGATAGATAGATAGATAGATGATAGATAGATAGATAGATAGATAGATAGATATATATATATATATATATATATATATATATATATATATATATATATATATATATATATATATATATATAGAGAGAGAGAGAGAGAGAGAGAGAGAGAGAGAGAGAGATATGGATAGATAGAGAACATGGTGAAATCATCTTTACTCTCGACAGGCTGCAGCCATGTCATGAATTCATCTTTTCCAGCCACTTTTTGCAGTTTGCATCGTCCTATTCTCTAGCTCTTTCTCGAGCTTCTTTTCCAAACAACTGCTTTATGATCAATTGCAGCAGTTCTGCGCAAATTAATCGTGTTAAAAAATGGTCACTTTTTAAACACCACAATGTATTAAATAAATACAAATGCTGGGAACCAATTCTTTTTTACATTTCTTTAATATTTTGTTCTATTCAGCTACTCAAGCATCCTCTTTAAACTACTAAGAATTGTGCTATAAATGTGACTTTACCCGATTCTTATGTACACCTTAGTAATTTACTGATATGCCGCACAATGTCCTCCTTTTTGGTGCTATAGAAATGGCCACCCTAGTACGATCTCCAAGAAACTCAGAGCGGCGCGGTGTGCAGCCACAGTGGAGGATGGATGCTTTGCTTTGTGCAGGCGGTCTGGAGCGGAGAATGGGGGATTTCGGGGTAAAACTCCTCTTGGACGCGATGGCGACTCTGCATCGAACAAGACGAACTCAAAGAAGAGATGCTAGCGGTAAATATATGTTCGATTACTGCCTGCTAAGCTAAAAGCAGCCTAGCCTAAGCTACGGCTAATAGCGGCTAATAGTAGCCTTGCAAGAACAAGCTTTATTAAAGTGTATTTTTTGTGATTCACAGGAAGCAGTACGCCGTCTTAACAACTCGGAGACTAATTGCAGGCACTATGAACCGGAGCAAGGGTAAGATTTAAAGAATATGCTTTCATTCTGCGGTAAAAGGCAATGGATACGGATGGATACCGATCATAGCTTTACATTTTGTTTTCACAGACCTCCTATTTGCTCGGAGCCATATCAGCAAGTCCAGATTTGCACGATGTTGATAAAGACGACATTGTGTGTAAGTGACTTGTTTTAATATTTTCTCCTTCCTTGTTACTGGGACTTGCGTTTGATTTTTTATTTATACCACTCTCATTTAATTGTTTTCCAGCTGCCTGTAAGACGTATCTGCTCTGAGTTGGGCCAGAAGAAAGAGGGTAAGACTTTATTTGGTGACTATTTTTCAGGTGCATTAATAGATGTGTTGTGTCCATACGCAGTGCGCTGATTCATTGTTTTTTTTTTCAGCTGCTGAAAGCGAGGCAGAGTGTGCTAGCAGATGAGGAAGTGGAACTCTGGAAGTCCGCCTTCCTCGGCGGTGTCTCTGAATGGATTGTACGGTCGCCGCCATTTCGTAGGCCGGATCTCACTGAACTCTGTGTTAAGCTGCAGTCCTGGTTAGAAGCGATGCCTTAGTACAGGGCCACGCACAGTAGGCGTCTGCACATCGGAGCTGCCTCGGAGGGAATGCTGCCAGTTACCTCCAACCCCGAGGAAGCAAACGGACCGTTCACAGACTTTTAATTTTTAGAAACGCATGTGTTTGGATACGCGTTGTATATAGTTGTGTGTGTTTTAATAAAGCTCTTTCTTAGCATAAACAGCTTCCTGACAAATGTTCATTTCCTGTATAAATTCATTCATGTCCTTGATGGTAGCATAATAATTGTGTAGTAGTGTAGGATAACATAAATACACATCATATGAATGAATAAATATATGAATGAATATATATATATATATATATATATATATATATATATATATATATATATATAAGATCTACTTTGGTTACTGTTGTTTCATGTTTTTAAAGATATATTTTATAGGATGATATTAAATATTCAAATGGTCCTCTGTCAGATGGCCTGGCTCAGCCTCAGAGGTCAGTCTCTTTCAGATATGGGGCGGGTCTAAACTCTGTACGCGTTTATGCAACAGCAGAAAATAAAATAAAGAAGTGTTATGGAAGATTTAAGATAAATTGTTAGGATAACAGACAACTGTGGATTGTTTTCAAGTTCATTGACAGATACTTGCAGCAGGAAAATGGCTGCATAAATAGATTGTAGATGATAGAGAAAAAAAGAGATGAACTGTATTTAATTTATAATTTTAACACAATGCATGTAGAGCAGAACAAGTTATAAATCTCCTAATTAAATGAGTCTTTTTGTTTACAACAACAAACCTCCCTTATGTGTTTAGGAAGCCCAAGTCTTTTAAAAATGAGTGGAGTATTAGCATTTAAACAATGTTTGAAACCTGACAGATATATTTGCCCATAAACTGAGATGAAGTTCCTGCAGAGACAGGAAATCTGTTTCTAACACATCATTGTGGTAAAAGACGCAGCTACATACTTTATGAACTTTGAAAAAAGGGAAGGAAACACAGACAGAGCAGGACTTTTATGGTCTGAAGAAGAGGTATGAGAACATTAGTTTTTATACGAATTAATGTAACTTCTCCTTTTCTGTGCTGAAGTTTGAGCAAACTTTTCTGATTCTGTGCAGCAGGTCTTGAAGTGAGGATGGGGCACACTTTGCTTTGCAGGCTGGGCTTCTTCTGTAAGTAAATATGACTGTTACTCTATTTGATAATTTACATGGTGCAGATTATAGTATGCTGCTAGTTTAAACTGTCTTTCCTGAAAAATTTATGTATCATATTACTTACATTTTTTTTAGTTTGAAACTTAAAATTATACAGGATTTGAGACATGTTACTTTGTGGCAGCCAAATGTGACCAAACCCTGTTACTTGTGTCCAGTGGTGGGCAGTCAAAGCCTTCAAAGCCTTCTCTGCTGGCCTAAACATTCATGACCTAAACCTTTGATCTTATTCCAAACAACCTCTTCTCTTAAATTTGTGGCATTTCTCTTGGCTGCGCTGCTTCCATTACATTTATGTGGTTGCCATATTCTTCGTCCAATTAAATTTCAGCCTCTGTGTGTTGCTATGTCAGTCAAATCTGCCCAGAGCCTTCAGAGTCAGCAGTGCTGGCTGATGTTAACTTAAGTTAGTGACAATTTACATTTTAGATAAGCTGTTGTTGAACGTTTTTCCGGCCTGAATGTATAACAATAAATGGAGAAACTAAGATTCCCTGCACAATGCCAGAAACATGGAATTTGTATTTTATTTCCATGTTTTATGCTCTATACTATCTGCTAGTTTGATGCATATTGGATCTGAATGACTCCTGACGATGTAAATATGGCAAAGCTGCAGTTATAGAGTAGAGGTTTACCTTTGTCTTGATTTTCCTTCTTGCTTAATTGATCTCTGTACCCTCACCCTCACACTAAACTTCCTCCCAGTTATACCTGCGCTTGTTACTTTTCATATTCGAGTACTATTGGGGGTTTATCTCATTTAAATGTGAAAATGATGATAGTAATCCCTTGACAACCATTGTAGCAAATATGCAACAGACCCTTTGAATTACCAAGATAGCATGCGCATTCCTTCAGTGCCAGTTAGTGAACATTTAGTGAACAGGAACCTTTGGCCAGCCCTTATATATATATAAGTAATTTCCCTCTGGGATTATTAAAGTCTTGATTCTGATTCTGATATTCAGACGTCAAGGGGTTAAGAAGCAGAAGTAGAGGGGGCCCCACTGAAGGCCTAGGTACCGGATGCAGCAGCACCAACCACTGCTTGTGTCCTTTGACAGTTGGAAGCCAGTATGATTTGTTGTAGCAGCAGAATAACTTCAGAAAGATTCACCAGAATTTAAAAGATGGAGAAGGTTGAGAAAGCTGAGGAAGGACTTATGATTGAGAAATCGGTCACAGCAGCAGTTTTTTTGTTTGGATTTTCTTTTTAAATATCTGACACCACTGAAGATTTGTCGTTAGATGTGGAAAATAAGATTTGTTTCTAGTGAGTCTGGCTGACTGATTAAAACTCACAATCAGATGTTCCGTTTATTTTCTAAGGATGAATGATGTTGCCTTGTCCATCTGATAAGTGTTAGAATGAAACCGGTTTCGCTATTTATTGTTTTTTTCTCCCTTATACTGTTAGCTACGCTAATATCATCATATAATAACTACGCTATTGTTAATATTATAATTTTCCCCATAAGCCCTCCTCTGACACTGAATGAAAACACATTATAAAGTTATCTGTAATGTTGTACTAGACGCCCTCAAAATGTCCGAAAAGGGGCGGAGGTGGAACCAGAGAGGAGGGCTCGAAACGAAAAAAAAATTTAAAACACAAAGCAACCCACCCAGGACATACAAAAAACAAAACCAAAAATAGAGTCCAATAAGAAAAAAATCCACCAATGGTGGGCAAGGGCAATCAAAAGTCTCAGGAGGCCGGCCGTGAGACTGGAGATGAGGCAGAGTCTCTGGAGGATGGCCATTAGGCCGGAGGAAGGCCGGTGGAGGATGCAGTCTCCACTGCAGCAGCCTTGGAAGACGTCATCTCTGCTGCCGCTGCCTTGGAAAATGCCATCTCAGGTTCTGGCCCATTTAAGGAATCCAGTTCAGGTTCTGGCCCTTTAAAGGGCTCCGGTCTGGGTTCTGGCCCGCTGAAGGGCCCAGGTTCGGGTTCTGGCACATAAAAAGGCTCTGGCTTGGCTAGCTGATTGAGAGATGACGGAGGTGGAATACGAACAATAAAATCCTCATTCTCACCATAAAAAAACTCAAAAAGCTCTGCTTCTTTAACCTGAGGAGGAGGTAAATATAAAGTCCGACTTGGTCTAGGGGCAATAAACGTTTTAAGGACCTAAGAGGAGGTGACAACTGAGAATCGAGAAGATGGCGGCTGAGGCTACGGGGAAACTGACCTGGAATGGAGAAGAATCCAAAGACGAGTTAACAGGGGGTTTACGGAGGTTGTACGGAGGTTAATGCGGCGGTAAGATGTTCAAGTTGAAGAGTAAAAGCCTGTATCTGTTTGGAGGATTACAGATTGGAGTGTACTTCTGTCATGGTTTAAAGGTTATTGGCCCAAATGCAGAAACAGCTGGAGATCAAGGACCAGTTAAAGATGTTTATTAGGCCACAAACTGACAGGAAAGGCTCACTGCATTAGCTGTAGGTGGGGAACGGAAAGTCCAAGTGAGGAGCACGCCAGGTATGGTTAATCAGTCTGGAGAGGGAGAGTGGAGGAAGGGATACTGCGACTCACTGCCTTCTAATGGAATGAGGTGGCGGAGCGACAGGTGGGGTAGCGGATGGAACATTGTCTCTGTAAAGTGCTTTGAGATAACGTGTTGTGAATTGGAGCTTTATTAATAAACAGAATTGAATTGAATGATCAGGCATTAAACATTTCACAGCAGCATCTTCCTTTTCTAGTACCTGCTCTCTCTTTATCTGTCTCCTCACTGCTCCTCTTGCTGCTTGGCCCAAAGAGGAGATTGGTTTGACTCGGCCTTTTCCTCTCTATCCTGTTCTTCTAGTGAGGAATAAGTAAATGAAAACAATATTGAATTTCAACATCATGTTAAAAGGAGTTTTATTTGTCATTTCAACACGTTAACATGAAACAAAATTAGTTTTGCAGGTTCCAGAGCAGCCTAATGTCAAAGTATGAAACAGTAAAAATAGAAACAAAGAAGTTGAAGTATAAATATCAAATGAACAACATAAGAAAATGCATATTTAAGAAAGTATATAAAATAAAAAAATAAATGTAGAATTCTTGAACATTACAACAGTAATGTAAATAAAAATAAGGCATTCTGAGGCTTTTTGAAGGACCATGGTGACTCTTGATGTAAGGGATGCTTACCACAGAAAAAGTTATTATAATTATGAAAAACATTAAGCGGATGTTTTATTTTGTTTTTGTACACGACTTCCTCTCACACTCTGTGACATCTTGCTTCAAAATATAAAATATCTCACTATCATCTACAAGTTTAACTGCTCCCCTCCTTCATGTGTAGCTTGATGTGCTTCTATTCCAGTGACGGCCATGAATGACAGACTCACTAACACTGTCTGTAGCCTGTTTGTGGCAGTTACCATAGTGACAGTGCATGTTGACGAGGAAGCGAAGCACATATGCCCAAACCCTCGAGTGACTGTTTTATTAACCAGTCACACTATTAACGGCTCTGCAAATATAAAACACCTTGTAGTTTTGTGGGAGACCTCAGTCATCGACCTTGAGTCATTTTCAGTGTAATCTATTTTTATTTTATCATAATTTAAGGAAAAATATAATTAAATCTAACAAATACCGAAGACATGACCTAGGTGTCCTCATTGGTAGTTATGGCCCTGACTGCAATGGAGGATAGTCTACAGCAGGGGTACGGTACATCCGGGACCAGGCTGCACATGATATAAATTAGCCATTGAGCTGTTTCATTCTGTGTCGCTGCTGCTAGCTACTTTTAAACACAGCAGGCAAATCTGTAGCAAGCTGGGCGATTTCCCTCTATTCATATTTCAACAGTGTAATGGAGTAAAAACAAAATACGTCTGTTGGTCTAGATCTCTAATTTATATTTCGGTCATTTGCACGTTTGAACATCTCAGTATTTCTCAGTATTTCTCTATAATGAAAAGAACAAATTAAATTCTGTCTGCTTTAAAGTATTGAACACCCCCGTTTGTATGGTAGTGTGTTCTATGTTATAGTTTCCCACAAGTTTGATTCAATGAAATATCTCCATGCTTACTATGTTTTAACAAACCTCAGTACTTCTAAATCTGCTTGAGATTCTGGCAAATCTTCTGCCCAGAATCTGGTTATATGTACCCGTTTTTTCTTTAAGCTCGTTTCAGTGGTCTCTGCACGGCCCTCCACAGACCATTGTTTAAAGCTCACAACCAATTTTACTTTTTATATTCTTGTAGAGAAAAATTATTTGTCCAGCTGATAAGGGTTCAATATAAACCTGGTCTCTCTGTTAATTTATTTTATTCTTATTGACAGTTTTCTCATTCTTCTATTTGAACAACCATCAGATTATTCTAGTAATTAATTGTTTGTTATTCTTTGTAGTGATTTGCACACTCTGCTGTGGATATGCTGAAGGTAAGATAATGATTTCTAGTTTCTCTGTTTTCCTTCTCAGCAGATCATACATGAATTCATAATCTATGTACTGTTGTTTTCTCACCACAGTATGTTTATTAAAGATAAAATTGTTCTAAAATGAGTTTCACTTTAAATGTTTTTTCTCTAAACACAGCTTCCAGGGAGAAGAAAATAACTGTGCAATTAATTTTGATTAATTAATGATTTTTTTCCCCCCAGTGATGTGCAAGATCAGCTTAAACAAGAACTAGTTCAAAGTTAAGGTCACAGTGGATGACAATTCCCTTACCTTTGAACTGCACCACAAAAACTAGCCTGCAGTCATCTGTGATGCCATGGACCAGTTAGCATATGCATTCATGGACATTAGTAACCAGGTTAAGCCTTGCTGAGATTTAAGAAACTCTTCTCTAAGAGGGACCTGGCAAGATAGCAATAGACTGACTGCAATGCCTGAACAGAATGGAGACCCTGTAATTCAGCAAACAGAAATAGAAAGTGTTCAAAGAATTTATTTTAAGATAAATATGTGTGTCAGGAACAAAACTCACTGGATTCACTGTGGAAGAGAACAGGATTAGCGCCCAAGAACAATTCAGTTATGCTAAAGGTGCTCTGAATGGAAGCCAACAACCTTATAAGAAGCTGAGAGGCTGTGCTGGCTCTGATGATCTATCCTAATGCTATGTTACACCAAACGCAGCAGGAGCAGCAAAAACACGTCTGCTGCTTAATTTTTGATGCTTGTACAAGTTTAGTTCTGACGCGCAGCAGGAGCTACCGTATCCTTTCTTTGCCTGTCAGCTATATTTGCTGTGAACAGTAGGAATAAAGTAGTTTTAAAGGAAAATTCCGGTTTTTAACACTTTTAGCCCATTTTCTGTAGTGTCCAGGATGAAATCGAATGATCGACACCAAAATTTTGACGATTGGTCCTTTCTCTGCTATTTGGCTCATGCAGAATCCCCCCCTGGATGCTTCAGAATGGCTTCCATAGTGCATGTCCGATAATGTCCTTAAAACAACCTTAAACGTTCTTTTTTTAAAATATGCTACTCACCGGGTCGTCAGCGCTGTTCAATGACGTTCCAAAAAAAGTTTTGTGAAGAAAAACCGTTCCTGTCTTGTTTTATTTAGCATTTTGTAAATCCCTGGATGCTTGACAGGATCATGCATTTTACGGAGTCATATTTAAGCACAGTGTGAAGTTGTGGAGAAACTGATAGAGGCGTTTCTTGAAAGAAAAAGGTTAAAATTTATTTTATGTCCTTAGACGGCGAGATAGAGCTCTGCCTGGGGCAAGCCCAGCACACATATTTGTACTGTAGAAATCCCAACATAGTCTCCCTTGGGACCATCCCACCTCTGCATAAAGAGCTTCTTCACACATGAACATTTGGAGCAAAACAACTTCAGTTCATCAAGGACATACATTTTACCATTAGCCAGATAAACACTCAGAACAGGTGTCTTCTGTTCATGGCATGAAGGAGGAGGAGGAAACTTTAAACACTTATCTTTTATAACTCCTAGCCTTCCTTTCACCCCAATTAGGCAGAGGAAAAATATGCTTCTACAAGAGCAACTTGTGAAAAAGCTCTTTCAACTGATCAATCGTCGGCACTAGGTTTATTACACCAGATCTGCCTGCTGCTAAAACTAGTATAATTTGTGATGCTACTTCACTAGTTCTCTTTTGTAAAAAACCTGGCTGATGACATTAGCTAATTAGTAATGGAGAAAGGTCAGGGAGGCTTTGCTATGAACCAGTAATGATGAATGATTGGTGGACAAGTGTTTTAGTTGGTTAACTCAAAAACCGCCAATCTGACTCAATCAGCCCAAATTATCTCCACCCGCCCAAAGCAATGTTTAGCCTCAAAATCTAAATTTAAATCACCCAGTCTGTCAACACTGAGTTCTGGAATGTGACAATATATCACAGTTGAAGTCTTGTAAATGCATTTTTTTTTTAAATACTGTTATGTTACATATCATTGAATAATTTGAATGATGAATTCCAATCATCATATGATATATGTATATATATCTAATGACTTATACTAAAATAATTTTTCTTTCAATTTGAAGAGTTTAGATTTTGGAGCTTAGAATTTTAAGAGCTGCCTGTTTGACCAGTAATACCAACAAACTGCTCCTGATTAAGTTATGTTAATTTTATTAGTGACCCATTCTAACTGTTGCAAATAAGTTGTTCAAAGAGATGGTTTACTAAAGAAACTACTGACTAGCTAAGTGAGAGAATAGGTGTCATCCATGTGGATGGACTCATGAATAAAGAGAAGCTCACTCAAAATCCATAAGTGTGTGGGTCAGCGTTTAGTTATTTCATAATCTTCCCTCCCTGAGATCAAATAGCAGCAATTATATTACATTGAGTAAATACTATAAAGACATTTTTCGGTAAACTACATAGAATGGTATTACATGTCATTATTTCTGGGCTGCAATAAAAAAATTGTGCGAGTATACCCACTTCTCCAGGGACCACTATGCTAGTGTCCTGTATGAATTCCTCACGTGTATAATGATATATATAATTATTTACAAAAACCTTGCTTTAGTTTTTTTTTTCTGTTGTCGGTCTGATAAATGAAAAACAGATACATGCATTTTTTCTATTTTTTTTAAGTTAGGTATTAATCTGGACCTTGTTTGAAGGCTAACAAGTCAATTCACATTAAAGAAAAAGATATTAACAATCTGGGTCATGCCTTAAAGGGGCACATAAATGTGTCCAAAGGGCACACAGACACTGCAGTTTGCTTGATGCTTCAAAATTTTGCAAACATTTTATACCTGTTATGAAGTAGCAGGTAAAGTTTACCTTACGTATATTAGAGATATGTGAGACATCTCTGCATATTTAAACTGAGTGATTTTGGGCTCAGTTTCCATCTGTTTGTAAAACTGTGGGTTGATCTTATCCTGATGATTTACAAATTTACAGACAGTAAGTATAAAAATCAATAAAATATATATATATTTTTTTGCTTTTTTGTGTGAGGTTTTAATTTCCATTTTATTGTTTTTTATTATTAGATTTTTATACAAGAAAATTCTGTTGATAAAAACAGAGGGCTTTTATTATTTTTAGTTTTGCTTATTTGTATAAGATAATTAAAACGTTATCCAGTCTCAGGGTTAAATGTTCTTTAGAAATTAATGTTTCTCAATATTTGAGACGTCAAACTTGCATTATAATGCCATTATCATTACATAATTCATCAGTCTTGGCTGCCATCGCTCCTCCCCCTGTTTCTATCTTTGTTTTTTGTATAACCTGCCCACTGTGGAAACATCCCTCAATCTCAGCAGTTCAGGAGATGTTTTGACCCACTTAACTAGAAATTCAAAAATCTTCATTCTTGCTTTTTAGTCCTGTTTTTAACTGGTTAACTTTGAGGGAAATATTTTCATCTGCTGCCACAGTGAAGAGAAAATCCAATAGTTATGCCTATTTAAAGTATAATTAACAAATAACAGAAATCCAACATGTATGATTAATAAATGTATTCTTTGAAACATCATAAATCTTTGGTACCACTGAGGTTTACTTTTCCCTAAACTTAATAACATAGTAAAGAGAAAAGATATTTATTTATTTTATTTATAACAGGTTATATGGAAGAATAAAAAGAGAACAAACTGTTTTTATGTTTTTCTCTCTCTCTTTACCAACATATTATGATAATGAAGAGAAAGTGAAAATCCATGTTTTTGTTTTTCATTAAAGTCATTCAAACTGTCTATGAAAGAACCACTGACTAGAGTTGTATAAAGTACAAATGCTTTCTATAAAACACTGAACCTTTGCTAAATTACAGCCTTATTAGAATGTTATAGAAATACTTTTTCCTAGATTCCTTTGCTTTGGGAGCATATTTACTGGCTGCAAAATACATCCCTTAAGAATCTTTAGAAAGATAAAATAGAAAAACAAAGATGCCATGAAAATCATAGAGATATTTCAGACAAAATAAAAACATTGCAAATGTAATGTGTCTTAAACATGTATTAAATCTAGGTGTAAAGGTTTAAATAGATGTTTATATAACAAGTCTTAAAATGTTTAGCACATTATGATTTATTATTACCATTTTCCTTTTTTTTTTCTTTTTTAATCACCCATCTTTTTGTTTTGTTTTTTATACAGAACATGAAAGCAAAGCCACTCTGACAGCGAATATAACAGAAATACCAGCAGGAAGCAGTGCGAAGCTGACATGTTCTGTGGACAAACCTGCTGGATTAAAATATGAGCTTTTCAAACGGACCTCCTCCACAGATCAGACTAAGTTAGAAGAACAACCTGATGGACGTTTCAGAGTCTCAGAAGGAGGCATCTACACCTGCAGAGGATATGAAACAGAAAGATACACCACAACTTCTCTGAGTAATGAAGTTGTTATTTATGCAACTGGTGAGTTTAGATGTTTAGTCAGATTTCTGAAATTCTTTGTGTTTTTAATTCTTGTTAATGAACATTTTCCACTAAACCCACTGTGATCTAACATTCTAACTGGGCTCAGGCATATGCTTCTACATTTATATTGTTATTATTAATTAAGGTGTTAAGAAAAACAGAGTTGGTTTATATCACAATGGGATCGATTTGTTTCAGAATTTTTAGATAGATTTTAGTTACAGAGTCTGTTTGATGAATGTATTCTTTGTTAAATGTTTATTGCAGTCTGCTCTCTGTTGAAGTCTCTCTACTAGTCTTTGGTTATTGTATGAGTGTTTGAATTCATGGTTGTTTATCCAGTGTGTCTCTGATTTGCTCTGTGATAGAAAGGTGTCCTCGAATCACAATAACTACTGGAGATGAACACTAGTTCTGGAGATATTCATGGAAAATCTGGATGCTCTGTAATACAGATGTTTTAATCTTTAAAATAAATCCCCATAGTAACAAAATCTAACAGATGAAAATATAATATTTAATTCATGAAGGTGATTTCCAATTCTGGCATAAATTTAATCCAGTCCTTGAGGTCTGGTATCCTGCTCTTTTTAAACATGTTTCTGCTTTAACACACCTGAATTAAATAGATGAATTACCTCCTCAGGATGCAGAGAAAGGTCTGGTCCCAATGTCCACACTACACCCTACGCCCCTATGTGAAATACTTGGTCAGATTGAAGTAATAGTTCTAGTGTGAAGGTAACAAAATGAAGAACTGGAACAGTGGGAACTAGGAATGACTTTCACTGCCTCCATCATCCTCTACGGTTCCTCATGATTTAAAAGCAACAGCAATCTCTCCAGAACTGGCCCCTTGGTGTGGAAACCACACATATAGGAACATGACAGAGATTATTTAGACTTCGAAAAACGTTGTTTTCGTTTTGTTTGCACAGAGTGAATACAAAAAAACTGTATTGCACACAGCTTATGACAAGTAATGAGACTAAAAAAAATAATAACATTGCAATATAAAGTGCACCAGTTATAACAATGTAACACTGCCACAGAAAAACATTTTTTTTTTTTTTATTAGAGGAGGAATGAGTGCTGGCAGTGCAAAATAATAATGGTGCAAAAACGACCTTAAAGTTCAGTTCTGCGCATGTGTGATGCAGAAACCAGTTCAGGGTTTAACAGTTCAACAGTCTTATTGCGCAGAAAAAGCTGTTACATAGCCTGCTGGCCCAGCAGCGGATGCCCCAGACGTTGCAGGGCCTCTTCCCAGAGGGCAGCAGGGAGAACCGTCCGTGGTGGGGGTGTGATGAGTCACTGATGATGTTACGGCTCGGGACGCGCAGCGCTGTGATGAAATGTCCTGAATGGAGGGAAGACAAGCCCCAATGATCCTCTCTGCTGTCTTCACCACTGTCCTCATGTTCACCACTCAGAGAGACAGCTGGTCAGAACGCTCCTTATAATGCTTCTGTAGAATGTTTTGAGGAATGGTGGTGGCAGGTGGGCTCTCATCATCCTCATCAGGAAGTACAAGCGCTTCTGTTCCCTCTTGACCCTCTTGAAGAATTTGGTGTTGCTGATCACCTCTAGAGCTTAGCTGTCAATGAGCAGCAGAGTGTGGTTAGACCGATTCTTTCTGAAGTCAACAATGATCTCCTTCATCATCTAAACGTTCAGGATCAGACTGTTGTCTCTGCACCAGCCCAACGGCTGCTCCACTTCCTCTCTGTAGTCCAGGTCGTCATTGTCTCTGATGAGGCCCACCGCTAGGGTTGGGAATTGATACGATTTTAACGATTCTGATTCCCTTATCGATTCTGTGAAATGATTCGATTCCTTATCGATTCTCTTCTCGATTCTGTGAAACAATGAACTTGGTAAGTGCACTGTGACATTCATCTACCTTTGCCTGGGACATTCTATTTCTGCCTGCCTCTGCAAAAACAGCAGGCAGTGAATGGGAGCTGCTAGCCTCTGAGCCAGCCAGGCTACCCGTCTCCTCACAGTCATCTAAATCTAATGGAGAAGGCACCCGTTTAATGAAAAGGCATTACTGTACAATTTCAGGAAATAAACTCATCTCCCCCTGATTTAAATAAATAAATCACCTTTCTCTCCCTCCCTGAACTGTGGAGCAACTTCGTAGTATGTTTAATAACCCCAAAGAGAGGTAGGAAACTGGTTTATTTCCAGAAATTGCATATGATTTCCTAGGAGCCACATTAAGCACAGCCAATGATATAAAACTAGCTACTTAACACCAGAGTTGCCTTCCATGCGGGTCGTAACTTTAGCTTTTTTCCGAAATCATCAAAAACACAGCATTCGTTAAAATGTTTGCCATGTCGTGTGCGCAGGTGTTTCTGCATGTTGGATGTATTTCCTTCCACAGCTGTAAATGCCACTTTGCAATGATTGCAGTGAATTTTCTGACTGTGGCTCCGCTTCGCTAACCTGATGGCACGGGTAACGTTGGCTCTCTGTCACCAGACTTGAAGGCTGAGTTCGATGCTTTTAGCGTTTGTTGAACCTCCCCAATCATCCAGGATCGTTACTTCAGTTTAGTTCATTAAACTCTTCTGGGTAAAGAAAGATCTGCAGCTTTAGCAGAGAGGTCAGCATCCAGAAAACTGGTGAGTTTAGAACTTAATTCTAAAATGGAAAAATTACTGTCCTTTCTCTGCTCCTCTCTCTGTCCAGAAATGTATGAAAAAAAGGCCAAATGTCCAACGAAACCTCTAAAAACTTTGTTTTTCCTCTAGTTCTAATATTTCCAAATACAGACAGCTTTCATTAAAAAAGAAAAAAATAGATATCTCCAGGTCTAAAGGTAGAGAAAACTTCTAACCTCTCAGATATAATAACTGGTCAAAGTTATCTGTGACATATGATGCAAGAAAACTTCCTACAATTCATGGGGTCAGATATCTAAGTGATTTAATTCATATTGTTAGCTTATACATTGACAGGCTGGTAGAAACGATTATCTAAGTACCAGATGTGACTGCTTACTGTATAATATCTGTCTGTCTGACTTCTTCTGTTTTCTAGCTATAAAACATCTTCTTGTTTGTGAGATTTCAATAAATGTTCTTTTTTTCCATCATAACGAAATAAATTAACTAAGGTGTTTTATTTATATATCACATCTGGATGATTGAAATTAAATTGTAATCCAGAACAATTGATTTTATTGCAGTTTATGTTTAATATAAATTTATATGATTTTTCTCTCTGATTACCATTCATTCCAGTGTCTAAGCCAACTGTGACCCTTCAACCCAACTGGTACCAGATATTCAAAGGAGAGAAAGTCACTCTGAGATGTGAGATCCATGGAGGTGGAGGAGCTCAGTGGACGTATGAATGGAGACCAACCAGCAGAAACTCTCCAACATCCAGTGAATACAGGATCACTGCAGCTACTGAATCCTACAGTGGAGAATATAGATGCAGGGCTAGAAGAGACTATCAGGTGACAGACTGGAGCAATGCCTTCAGTATGACAGTGGAAGGTGAATCAGACTGAAAATGTTTAGTTTGTATTTTTTTCATGCAAATCATCCTAAGTAAAACAGCAGGTTTTGGGGATGTTGTTGCATTAAAACCCACACAGAAACACAGAAATGTGCTGAATTTACAACCCGGATGTAAAAGAATTACAATAAAATAGTAAAGATATTCTCTTCTGATTCTACACTTGGCTTTCTGTTGATAAATTATAAACCAGATAAAATAAAATTCTAATGATGGTCTATTTTCTGTTTGTTTCCACCAGCAGATAAACCCACACCCTCACTGAAAGCAGGTGATGAAATAATACCACTAGGGGGCAGTGTAACACTGACCTGCTCTGTGTTCAACTCTACTGGCTGGAAGTTTGACTGGTTCAGACAGAAGTCAGAGTCTTCTGGAGCTCAGCTCATCAGAAACAATGAACCAAATGGAGTCATCAGCATCTCAGAGGGAGGTCTATACAGCTGCAGAGGAAGAAGAGGAGATCCAGCTTTCTACACTAAAACCAGCAGTAAGGTCATCATCTATAAAACTGGTGAGTTTTGATCAGTTTCCAAAGTTTAGGAGAGTTAAGAAATAGAAGAAAATGGTATTAGCTTACACACAGCACTTGGGCTGAATTTTTTTTTTTCCAGAAATCAAAATTGTGATTTAATTTCAATTTTCCTTTGCACTAACCCCAAGCCTGTAGATGTTTCTCAAGGCTTTCAGTTTTCTAGAGCATGCTTGCCCAGAGTCCATTGTTACAGGACTTCACCAGAACCATTGTGAGAAGAATTTTTTACCGGTACTTCTACTTTCATGCATGGATCTGCAAAATAACTGTAATTCTCTCCACCTTTCTGTGTGGTGACAAACCTACTTCCAGGGTTTAACCACCTCCTAAAGGGCTGGATGGAGAAATTTAGTGTATTACTCTTGTTAAATATCAGTTTGAATAAAAATCAGTGCATCTGCATTTAAAAATTGCGTTTTGTTAAATTATGATGCAATTCTTTAATCAGCCTTACTCAGCACCCGGTGACTGCATAGCTACATGAACACGAGGGGATAGACTGGTAGTTTTTCTGTCCTTTACAGAGCAGCAGTGTTGCTGATCTAAACACATCACCCATTTGGTGTTGAGCACTGTGCAGTATGTCTATTGATTGACAGCTCCTCCCAGATTAATGTGCATATTTGTTTTGAGCTCTGTAAGATCAGCATCTAATATTCCAGCTGTGAAGGCCAGTGGATGGACTACAGTCAGAGCTGCAGCTGCAGAGCTTCCTGGTTCACAGTATTGCAATATGAATATAGTCCAAGTTCCACAGAAACTGTCACAATCAGGTCCTACTGGGACATTAAGGCTGACTTGGAGGAGGGCCCCATAACTAAAGTTCTCCAGGGGCCCATAAATGGCTAAGTTCATCTTTGAATGATAAAACATTCTCTACATGATCACATATGAACTCTGCGCTCTGGTGCAGCTGCCACTAAGTGTAAATATAAATACTGTAGTAATGCTACAATGAAAACTGCATTTAAATGAAATGTCTTTAATTATCAGAACCACCACTTATAGAGCATTAATTGTATTCTATGTAGTTTAGGATTTTTTAAAATTGCTTATTTGTTTTATATGAGTTTTGAACCTCCAACTTATTTTCTTCAAACTGTATAATAGTGAATAATAGCCCTCTCCATCTTTCAGTCCACCTGCTAAAATGAAATTAATGTTTTTTTCTATAACTTCAATAACTTCTAATGACCCCATTCAATTTATTGTTTCATAAATAAAACAGTTTATTCCTTGATAAAGAATATGTTGGGGATAACATAATCTTTCTTTGTTCCTGTGTCAGTCCTTTGTTTTTCTCGGGGCACCATGTGACTCAGTGATAGAGCAGCTCCATCATATCAGAGGCTCCAGTCCTCCATGCAGTCACCCTGGGTTCAGTTCCTGGCCCCAGACCACTTGCTGCATTTCTTCCTATTCTGTCTCTGCCTTCTTCCAGTTAATAATCAATAAAGGCCAGTGATGCCTCTTAAACCCGACAGAAATAATAACCTGAAAGACAAAAGTCCTGTTCATGGTTATCTGTGGGACATGATTCAAAAAGCACTCTAGAGTTTATAAAGTTACATTTTTTTTTTTTATTAAACTTCAGGTTTGTATGTTGACTTTTCTATGAGAACAAATTTATTTCAGCACTAAATGTTACTTACTGCGTTATATTTCTTTCTATAATTTCTTATATTATTTAGATTTATAAACAACATCCTGATCCTGAAATTCATAAAAAGTGTTATCTACAATAAATAAAAGTTCAAATGTTTCTCATTTTTCTATATAGTTTCTATCATTTCCTCTTTGCTATTATTCATTCCAGTCTCTGAGCCAACTGTGACCCTTCAGCCCAACTGGTCCCACATATTCAGAGGAGAGAAAGTCACTCTGAGATGTGAGATCCATGGAGGTGGAGGAGCTCAGTGGACGTATGAATGGAGACCAACCAGCAGAAACTCTCCAACATCCAGTAAATACAGGATCACTGCAGCTACTGAATCCGACAGTGGAGAATATAGATGCAGCGCTAGAGGAGACTACCAGATAACAGCCTGGAGTGATGCCTTCAGTTTGACGGTGAGAGGTGAGTCAGACTGAAAATGTTTACTTGGTATTATTTTCATGCACTTCAACGTAATTAAACAGAAGGAGACTTTGCCCTTTTTGTGCCACTATGTGAAAGCACCAAACAGTATTGTAAATATTCATTTAGAGGCAAAAAACTGAAAAAACGAAAAATAAATGAATAAAGGGTTTGTTCCTTCTTCTTCTTCTTTGTCCTTCTTTTGATAAACTATAAACCAGAGGAAATCTGTATTTACTGTATCTCTGTTTTAACTATATTTCTAAGCTTTGTGACAGAAGCTAAATGACTCATTCAGAGGTGAAAAATCTCTTTTATTTTAGTAAAATTTTTCCTACAACAAAACTCATTCTAATGATGGTCTGTTTTCCAATTGTTTCCACCAGCAGATAAACCCACAGCCTCACTGACAGCAGATCAGGAAATAATACCACTAAGGGGCAGTGTAACACTGACCTGCTCTGTGTCCAGCTCTACTGGCTGGAAGTTTGACTGGTTCAGACAGAAGTCAGAGTCTTCTGGAGCTCAGCCCATCAGAAACAATAAACCAGATGGAGTCATCCGGATCTCAGAGGGAGGTCTATACAGCTGCAGAGGAGGAAGAGGAGATCCAGTTTTCTACACTGAAAACAGCAACAAGGTCACAATCTATAAAACTGGTGAGTTTAAGTCTTTATTGTTGAATAATAAAACCGGACTCTGTTTAAATATTTAATGTGTTTAATTGTTGCTATAAGCAATGAAGAACATCAGTAAACAATATTTATAAGACTAAAGCTTCAAAGCAGAACATTGGATCCTGTTTATCTTCTGGAAAAATTGAGGAGGTTTGGAGGTTATTATATTACTGGAAAAAACCTTTAGACCTTTAGTTGACCTGATTGACTAAAATACTTTGGATTTCTTTTATTTTTGTCTTGATGCTGTTTAGAAACTGAGTGAGAGTTCATGTGATAAACAGATGTTTAAACAATGTTTTTTTTTAAGAGGTTTATGTCAGCGATGTCCGTCTGATGGAATATTTAGCTGTTTTTCATTTATTTTAACAGTTCCTATTATACCCAATGTGATCCTTCAACCCAACTGGCCTCAGATATTCAGAGGAGAGAAAGTCACTCTGAGATGTGAGATCCATGGAGGTGGAGGAGCTCAGTGGACGTATGAATGGAGTTCAACCAACAGAAACTCTCCAACATCCAGTGAATACAGGATCACTGCAGCTGATAGTGGAGAATATAGATGCAGAGGAAGAACAGATGTCTTTACAATAACAGAGTGGGGAGTCCTTAGGTTAGCTGTGTCAGGTGAGTTTTTTTTTATCTTTCCCCCATGTTTGAATTTTCTTAGGGATTTTAACATATTTTGTATAAAAGTAACATATTTTCCTAAAGACTCTTCTATAGGTGAAAATAAGCTAATTGTTAATAAAACATGACACTCATTGCTCATCTCATTTATATTAAGATCTTAATTTAAAAGCAGGATCTGCTTCTAAGCTCAAAAACATGTTTTATGTGTAACAAATGAATGTTACTGCAATACTTTCAATGAAATTTTAGATTAAGTTTAAACAAATAATCAACATCAGACCAGAATAAAACAGCAACAGCTGAAACAAAGTGCTGAACATCACTGCAAACTTTAAAGGAACAAAGATATGTAAATAACGTTGAGGAATGATTATAAAGAAGAAGAAAAACATTAAAACAAACAAGATCAAAGTTAGTGTTACTACTGGTAAAAAACTAAATATAATAATTTAAAAGTTATACAAGTTATAAAAGTAGGCAGTAAAGGAGCCTCTCAATGTGCAGGAGTAGTTTATTCCTAAATGAGAAGCAGCAATAGAGGCTTTGCTCTGATCGTCCTCTTAGACCTTGGTTCCTGCAGGAGCTGCTGTTCAGCCGACCTGAGGGGCTGAGAAGGATGGTAGGAATGAAGAAGCTCAGAGAGCTACTGAATGGGAAGGTCATTTAAACATTTTAAAATAAAAATAAGAATTTTAGAATGAACTCTAAAATGCACTAAACAGGTCAGGGATAATGTAGGGATGGGAATCGAAAACCAGTTCCTGTTCAGAACCGGTTCCATGGCACCGTTTGGCAGCTCGCTTAACGGTTCTCTTAACAGTTCCAGGCAGCAGCAGAGCCTAGCTCTGGGCAGCACGACTTAAGTCGCGTTTTTTACGTAAGTTACGCACACGGCAGTCAGTAAGCAAGTACGGCGTGACCAGGCGTACGTCTAGAAAAGCAAAACAAAAACAAAAAATGGCGTCCCATCGGGTAAACAGATCAAAAGTTTGGCTTCATTTTAAGGAGGAGAAAGATAGCAACAAGGCACTATGCAATCATTGCAAAGTGGCAATTACATCCGTGGAAGGAAATACATCCATCATGCAGAAACACCTGCGCACATAAGATGGCAGTTAAATGAATGCCATGTTTTTTTATGCTTCTGGACAGAAGCTAAAGTTACGACCAGCATGGAAGGCAACTCTGGTGGTAAGTAGCTAGTTTTATATCACTGGCTGTGCTTAATGTGGTTCCTAGTAAATCATTTGCCATTTCTGGAAATAAACCAGTTTCCTCTCTCTCTTTGGGGTTATTAAACATGCTACGAAGTTGCTCCACAGTTCAGGGAGGGAGAGAAAGGTGACGCTCATTTTACTTAAATCAGGGGGAGATTATGAAGGTAAATATGTGCCAAAATGAACAAACTTGTGAATTTAATGTGAAAACTTGAGAATGCAATGTGAGAATTTGTACCACAAAAATCTGAACTTGTATGCCAAAATGTTCTGCTGTAAAGAAAAACCGCACACACACAAACTGAATTTGAAGTTGCACTAAAAGAAATATCAGGCAAGACCATGTAAAAAAAAATTACACTTGTCAGTCCAATCTTCACCTGAAGAGGATTTTCACTCAAATCTGATTTAAATGTGAATGCACAAAAAAACTATTTACTGGTGTGCTCATATAGTTTTACACAAATAAAATTACAGCTGACAAATGATTATTGATAGTTTATTTGTAATTATTATTTTTTTGCATTTGTTAATCTTGCATTACAACCTCAATTTAGCCATTACGGCTTCTTGAATCTGCTGCTTCAAGAACACAAACGCGCTATCGCGAGACACAGCACGTTGACACCACGCTTTGACTTTTGTCATCACATTCCTTGTGAGATATTTGTGCCAAAACGAACTTGTGTTTGAAGATGTGAGAGCAAATGTGTGTGTGTGCGTGTGTGTGGGTGTGGGGGGGGGGTTGTGGTGGGTGCTTGGGGGGGGGGGGGGGGGGGGGGGGGGGGGGGGGGCCTCCCAAGTTCGCAGGCTGCGTACTTGGGAGGACTTCCTGGCTTCTTTTTTTTTTTTTTTTTTTAGTAGTTGAAGAAAAAGAAGAAGCAAGTCGGATTTTCTTGAAGTTACGGACAACCGAAAGCAGCAGCCGCGCCGGCAGTAGAGCGGAGAACACCTTTAAATGTAAGTAGTTTGTTTTTGCTTTTTTTAAATGAACATCTATTAAAATACATGACGGTAACGGAGCCACCGGGATGTGTAGGACCAGCTAAAGCTAAAGCTTAAAGCTAACCTGTTGATACGTGATGTTCATCAACAATTAAAAGCCTTCATACAAATGTCACTATTTTTTATTTTAACCTACATCTTACTGTACTGATAGCCGTATCCCTCTCTAATCAGATCTATTTATTCTCAAACAGTTTATTACAAAGGATTAAAACTTTTAAAGCTTAATGCAGCTGAAGAAATAACATTAGTCCAGCTGTACTGGGCTGTTAATACTGTAAACGTTTTGTTTTAATACTGAATAATGTATAGTTAATTTACAGTACAGTATAATACGGTTTAAAGTATAATTCACTTGAAAAACAATACCAGCATAATTATACAGAACAGTCATTTTGCCTGTTGACATAACAGAAATATGCTTTACATGTCATTTTGTTCCAGGGAGCAGACAGAGGAGTGGATAAAATGACCACTTCATCATCGGGGCCAAAAATACTGCTGCAGTCGGATGGAGCGAAGAGTTGAGGCAGAATTCCATCTACATGTTGCATTTCTATGTAAAAGTCACACAAGTTAAAAGAAGTCCTGTTCAAACACCAACGTACAAATATAATCTTTTGATCACAACAAATGATGCCCAGATGCCACTTTTTGTAAATCTCATATTTGTGATAGAAGTGATCCTTGTGTGGGACAACTTAAAAAAAAAAATACAAAGTATGTTCAGGTTTGGATAATGTAATGGGACACACACACACACACACACTATATATATATATATATATATATATATATATATATATATATATTTTTAGCGCACGTGTAACACTTAATTATAAAAAAAAAAATAAACGCATGTTGAATGAAATTTGACTTTTATTTGTAACATTCTCTAAACGTGAGTTTTCAATGGAAAAAAGTCACATCACCAACAGAACAGACTAAAGCATACTTCTTTCATCTGGCTCATCTCCCTGTTTTCCCTCACCCATCTGTTCTCCCTCATCCTGGTCTTTTTCTGTCTCTGTGTCTTCCCTGAACTCTTCCTCATCTCCTGTCCTGTTATATGTTGATGGTATAGAGCTTCCCTGCTGTGACTGGCTACAATATATTAATAATAACCATCATGACAATAATAATAATAATAATGATAATAATAATAATAATAATAATAATAATAATAATAATAATAATAATAATAATAATAATAATAATAGCTTTAACAAATATGCCACATTAGTTTAAATAATGGGCTATTAGGGCAACATGACTGGAAGTCTTGTCACGTGGATATGACTTATGGTAGCCTACAAAATAATAGCTATTTTAATACCTGCTGCACAAACCACTTAAAAATAAAATGTGAACAGCTTTTAAGATTTTTCAATACGATTAACCCTCCTTTCTTGGCATTGTGCTGAATTACTAAATGAATATACAATTAAGACGATAAAGAGACCAAAATGTGTTAATTTATGTTGCCTAACAAAACCTATACAACAGAAAACGTTTGTCTTAACACATAGATTTGTACAGAAGAGGATTAGGGCCACTGAAAAAAAAAAAAGTTAACTGATTTTTAAATTTTATTTCAGTTTAACATGGGGAAAAAAGTCAGAATTCTGACTTATTTATTGTCAGAATTCTGAGATTAAAGTCAGAATTCTGAGCAAAAACTCAGAATTATGAGAAAAAAGTTAGAATTATGAGATTAAAGTCAGCATTCTGACTTTTTTCCCATACTAAACTGAAATAAAATAAAAAAAATCAGTTAACTTATTTTTTTTTCAGTGGCCCTAATCCTCTTCCATAGATTTGCAATTGCAAACTCTACCTAAATTATTTGTAGCCTATGTGGTCGTCCTCACGTTATCTGTCATTGACTTGGGCTACAGTGTAAAACTTTCAGAATCAGAATCAGGTTAATTGCCATTGTTAGTGAAGGAGTTCACAAACTAGGAATTTTTTGTGGTACAATCGTGCAACATGAAACATATAATATGGAATAGGTAAATAAAATTATAAAAATATCTAAAAACTGTGGGTATACGTCATGCAATAAAATAGACTAATGTATACACTTAAGATAAAAATATGGATACAAAATATAAAAAGTAAAATAGCATCTTACAAGGAGACAACTAGTTTATCTGGTGACCAGTCGGCAAAATGCTTGTTTGGTGCTGCTGAATGAGACGTTTTAATGCCCAACAAAATGATTCTGCTTGATCTGTATATTACCTGGCTAATGGGGCACGGGAGAAGCAGCCTATCAGCGACCGTTCCTGCTATCTGAAAACTGCTATGATGCTGCGCATCTGGCATGCCCTGTGGGCAACCGAGCGAGTTCACATGACAAAGGAAGAGAGAGAGGCTGGTCGTTTGTGCGCAAGTAGGTCGGTCATTTCGGGGCATTGTTTCAGTCGTTTTTAATGGCTCAGGTTTTCAAAAGATCATTTCAAAACCGACCTCAGTAAAATCTTAATAATATTAATAATAATAATAAAAAAAAACGAGTTTCAAAAGGGCATTTTCTTTGATAGAGGGCAAACTTCCTAGTGCTTTAGCACCACCTAGTGTCTATGTGTGCACGCCCCTGCATTAATCCATCCAAATCATGAAACCTTCCTTTTTTCTAGCTTTAAAGAAACACTACAGAAAACAGGGGGTCAGTGGGAAGCCTACTGCTGCCACCTGGCCCTGGTTTGTCCTCATGGATGAGGTATTAGGACAGAGGCCCCCTAATGCCCCACCTGTCCTAATTACCTCCATCCCTGAGGACACAGCAGGGCCAGGTGCTGCAGAGGCTGAGCAGCACCAGGTTGACGATGAGGAAGAGAATGAGGATGAGAGGCCAGGAGAGAGGAGGGAAAGGAGCAAGAGAAGAAGGAGAGACGAGTTGGTGGATTTACAGTTTTTCTCAAATGCTAAAACACATTTCACAAACGTTTCATCCATGTTCTTCAATGTCTAAACACAACACCCTTTTCTAAAGCTACATAAACATAACCACATCTTCTCCCTTCAAAACTCAAACTTTCACACCAAAAGAGCAGCTCGAAGCTTTCAAAAATGTAAACACTATACACATCATTACACACTACAGCAAAACAACTGAAAACACAATGCTCAATTTATGAGAAGGTTCTTTGTTTCTTTACTGCCAATGCATATTTTTAGAAACTTTACAATTATGGATCTTCTTAGAGTTCTGCAGAGGATTGGGCATTTAGATTTGTGAGTTTCATATGAAGGGTATAGTAAATTCTGTACACTACTGTAACACAACTCACTGCAAAAGCAGAATCTATTGCACACAACAGTACTCGTGAAAACATGATCAGGGTGTGAAGTTTTTTTTATTAATTTTACAGTATTTACACCACAATCACTGTGCGGCATCATGTCGCTGAGCTGCATCAGGCCACATCACCTCATCCACATCACAGGCTATATTGTCTCTTGCCAGGCACCGTGGGAAAAATGCCCTGGAATGGCGGATCCATCCTTGGAAGTTCTCCACTGGGATGACAACACACGCCAGCTCCATTGCCCTTAGGAGGTTTTCTCTAGTGTATGGTTGTCTGTCATAAATCTTCCATCTCCACGATGAGAAGAACTCATCTATAGGGTTCAGGAAAGGGGAGTAGGGTAGCAGACAGATGTTTAAAAAGTGGTTACTGTTGGTGGTGAACCACTCACTGATTTGGTTTGTTGTGTGGACGCTTACATTGTCCCAAATGATCACATAAATGGGATGTTCGGGCCCAGGATGGTGTTGTTGGCGGTCTAGGAGGATATCTTTTAGCTCCTCTAGGAATGTTAGGAGACGTTGGGTGTTGTTACGGCCTCTTTGCCTTCGTTTGTGCAGGTTGAAGCCAGCCTCATCTAGGAAGAGGTAGTCATGAGGTCTGGCCATCACGTCCAACTGTAATATCCTCTGTGAAAATGTGAAAGTGCTCAGGTGTTCAGAGCAACAGTCAATCAGGTAGCATATAACGTACTGTATTGTCCAGAAGTAATGTAGGCCACTGAGCAACACAGTATGTTTACTAACTGTACTGTGAACATGGATGTATACTTACTTGCACATACTCGTAACGTAGGTCTTTGTGTCGTGCAGAGTTTCGCTCAAAGGGAACCCTATAGACTTGTTTCATCCACATCTTTTGGCGCCGGAGAACTCGGTCTATTGTGGCCAAGCTGACATCATCAATGTCCTCAAAGTTCACATTATCGTCAATGACTTTGTCTCTGATCTCCCGGAGTCTGATGAGGTTTTTCTCACGAACCATATCCACAGTGGGGGTTTCTTGTGCCGCTGTAAATATGGCAACCCGCCCACCTCTATGTGGCATTCTTTCAACTCTAAAGAAAGAAACGTGTCGTCAATTGACATGTTTTACATGTCAATACAGTAACAACTGATTTGAAACTACTGTAATAGACTACTTTCACAGGCTTGTAAAATTGTATTCTGACAAATAAAGCAATAGAGTACAATACCTGTTGTGTTGTCTGAATGCCCTGATAATGGTGGCCACGGTGAACCTACTCAGGTTTCGACGGACTCTTAGTCCTGCTTCAGCCATTGTCATGCCATGGACAATGACATGGTCAATGACTGTTGCTCGCATCTCGTCCGTAATGATGGTACGAGGTTGTCTTGCTCTCCCTCCTGGACCTTCTCTCCCTTGTTGGCCTCCACCTCCTTGTTGGCCTCCACCTCTTCCTCCTTGGCTCCTCTTCCACCATGGCCTGCTCCTCTTCCACCATGGCCTGCTCCTCTTCCTCCCTGGCCTGCTCCTCTTCCTCCCTGGCCAGCTCTTCTCCCTCCTCTGACGCGATTACCTCTTCCCTTGACTGCCTTCATCCATTGTGTTTGTTTGGAATCTTCAGCAAACTGTGCACTCTTAACTTGCTTTTATACATGTGGTCACAGCATTAGCAAGAGGTGTTTTCAATTTTGAGTCATTGTGTGTAATGAATGACGCCAGGTTTGTTCATTTTGTTCAAATATTGCTGACTGTGGCAAGCATTTTGCATCACATGAGCTTTTATTTGAGAATATGAGCAGAGTTCTTTTGCAACTTGTGTTTTAGCAAGGAAAAATGTGTTAAGATTTATGCGAATGGAGGATTGTGTTTTGTGAATTGTGTCTTCATGTGAAATGTGTTTATGATATTGGAAAATGATGGCTAGATTTAGTAAATGTGTGTAGACAACTGGTCATTTGGTTTAGAGGATTGGCTTTTGTGTTTTAGCATTTGAGAAAAACTGTAATCAGGGAGGATATCAGATGGCAGAGGGAAGCGGGATAGGATAGACAGATTATTTCATTTATTGGAGAGGATGGTGGACAGACATTATTATTTTTGGTGTGTTTTTTTTTTTTAACAAGTTCAGGTTATGTGTTGCTGTTATTAAATTAAATTATTAAATTGTTTATAAAAGTTATTGTTGTCGGTGTGTTCTTAAAGTCTTTTATCTGTTTCATCACTTCTTTATAATTTAAGTAAACTTAGAACAACTTCTCAGTGACATCAGTTTACATCAAGTATTTACAATAAACTATTAAAAACATTTTTAAGTATTGACATTAGATTTTAAAATTAACTACTACAACTATTTACAGAAGATATACAGTAAATATTACTAGAGAACATATATATATATATATATATATATATATATATATATATATATATATATATATATATATATATATATATATATACACAATTGTGACTGAGCAGGAGTCCCTGGTGGTGCTATATATATATATATATATATATATATATATATATATATATATATATATATATATATATATATATATATATATACACAATTGTGACTGAGCAGGAGTCCCTGGTGGTGCTGCTGGACTGGATGCGATGCCACACAGATGACCTTGGAGTCTTCTGACTGTGAGTGGGACATCATCTGGGGGGTGGGGGTGCCTCTCTCCACTGTTCACCACATCATCCATCAGGGTTTGCAGGGCTGACCCAATCGACAGCTGCCCCAATTGACGGCTGCCATGTTACTAAAAAAGTTTAAAATGACGAAGAACATAATGACTTTACTAAAACTGTTTTCATTACCCTGAAATAACAGCTAAAATGTGCTAAAATGTGACAATCTAAATGTAATGGTGGTCGGGTAGACCCTCCTCCAGGGGCAGACACCTTGGCAGACAGCTGGTCCCTCCATGGAGCACCACTGACTGCCTCCAACACGTTCTCCCCTCCTCATCCTCTGGCATGTCATCCTCTGGGGCCGTGATATCACCAGCTCCCAGGCAGATGTTGTGCAGGACAGCACATGCCGTTTTGACCTGTAGAAAAAAATAGACAAAAATATTTATTTTTATTCAGTCATCTATCTTTATTACATGATTTATTAGAAATTAAATTTTACTTAATCTAGATCCACTATTTAACTTATTTTTTCGTTTTTATATTTTTATTTTTTCCTGTATTATGTTTATATATATATATATATATATATATATTTATATATATATATTTATATATATATATATATATATATATATATATATATATATATATATATATATATATATATATATAATTGCAAATAAAATCAGGCAGTAAGGGGATAACAATTTAGACAAAAAATGATTTATTTCTCAACAGTTTGGCTTCTCAACAAAACATTAGTAATGGTGAAAGTAGTTATTCAAGTCAGTTATTTACAGGGTTTGTACACATTTAAGTATTCAATTCAAATTACTAAAGTTACAAACAAATAAATTACAAACTTAAAAATAAATATAGAATTTGATATTTAAACATATTCATCAATCTGCTGACAAGCGTTTATTTAATAACTGGTATATTCTGATCATTAGCAGGCCCCTGTGGGTTAGAATAATAGCAGGTAGATCTTACCTCTCCACTGCGCACTGCCAGCCTGAGAAAAATCCGTCGCAGGTTTTGCTGCCGCCGAAGCCGTCAAAGCGACTCTCCGCCTCCAATAACAAGTAAATAAAAAAAAAAATAAAAAAAATTTCCATATCTATTTTTTTGTTTTTGTTGTTTCTTTCCGTAACACAAGTTCGTTTTGGCACAAATATCTCGCAAGGAATGTGACAAAAGTCAAAGCGTGGTGTCAACGTGCTGTGTCTCGCGAGAGCGCGTTTTGTGTTCTTGAAGCAGCAGATTCAAGAAACTGTAATCAAGTGGGAATGCTTATGCATTCCCACTTATTGTTTTTCTGTTTATATTTATTATTATTATTGTGTGAATGCTGTAGGCATTCACACTATTGAGATCCTGTTTCTCTTTATTTATTATTATTGTGTGAATGCTGTAGGCATTCACACTATTGAGATCCTGTTTCTCTTTATTGTGTGAATGCTGTAGGCATTCACACTATTGAGATCCTCTTTTTATTTATTATTATTGTGTGAATGCTGTAGGCATTCACACTATTGAGATCCTGTTTCTCTTTATTTATTATTGTGTGAATGCTGTAGGCATTCACACTATTGAGATCCTCTTTTTATTTATTGTGTGAATGCTGTAGGCATTCACACTATTGAGATCCTGTTTCTCTTTATTTATTATTATTATTGTGTGAATGCTGTAGGCATTCACACTATTGAGATCCTGTTTCTCTTTATTTATTATTATTGTGTGAATGCTGTAGGCATTCACACTATTGAGATCCTCTTTTTATATATTATTATTGTGTGAATGCTGTAGGCATTCACACTATTGAGATCCTGTTTCTCTTTATTTATTGTGTGAATGCTGTAGGCATTCACACTATTGAGATCCTGTTTCTCTTTATTTATTGTGTGAATGCTGTAGGCATTCACACTATTGAGATCCTGTTTTCATATATTATTATTATTATTGTGTGAATGCTGTAGGCATTCACACTATTGAGATCCTGTTTCTCTTTATTCAAGTGGGAATGCTTAAGCATTCCCACTTATTGTTTTTCTGTTTTTCTTTATTATTATTATTATTATTATTATTATTATTATTATTATTATTCCGTACGTTTTTGGTCGTTAAACTACTTCAACAGTTTTCAGCCG